GCTTAGAAATAAACTGCCTCTGATTCCTTGTCTAGCTTTAACTCTGTATAATTGAGTTCCATAAAAAGGAGTGTAGGCTCCTAAGAAACCCAGCTATTTCTTGGGTGTCTGGAAACCCACACCCACCCTAGTTACTCCAGTTTTAGAGATTTTATAAGACAAGGTTTGGAGACAAACACACCTCGAGTGTCTTTGTGTTTGTTTTTAAACTATGGACAAGTGAAAGAAAGTATTCTAGGACCCAGCTTATTCAAACAGTGGTTTGCTTTTGAAATAAGATCATCTGCCTCCCTTAAACGCACAATAGTCACCTTTGACACCAGGAACAGAAGGTAAAACGACCAAGGATGTGGGGAACCAACCTCATTGCTGGAATTTTTGAAACTGATTTGCATGAACTCTTATTTCTAGGTGTCTGGCCTAGTCCAGAGGATGGGATCAATCACCCTTGAGTCTGGTGTGAAAGGTTTGATGTGTCCAAGAAAGATGTGGTAAGGGGGAGGAGGTGCTATGAAGAGCTAGAACAAAGGAAGCAAGAATGTTTAAGGTTCAATTTCTCCCAAAAGAGCAATAGCAAAAACGTTTTAAAAGTGCAAAACAAAAAACAACAGTAAAAAAGGCAAAAATAATCTCATTTGGCCTGAGATCTTTAGAATACAGTATTTAATGCTGGTCTCCTTAATCTCACCCTCACTGGAGTGTGTTTGGTGTATATATTCGTGGGAGTTGTGTGTGTGCACACGAGAGAGAGAGAGCAAGCTGGCAGGAGAGAAACCGATAGCACTGATGAATGGGAAGCCGAACGATAAGGTGGGATAAGGGGCTCTGAAATGTCAGGGTGTCTACTGTCCTGGGAACCTTTGAAGCACATGCCATGACGAATTACATTATCTCCAGGCTTAGAAAATTCCTAGAGACAAAGATGGGAAGAAAAATCAAAGGTCTTTGGTAAATGGGGCCGCTGCTTTGTGCTCAAGACTCTAAGTTTGGCTTTGTGTGATGAACGGATGCGGGGGGGGGGGGGTGGGAGGGAGAGAATTCCGCTGAAGGAGGAGCCAGAGTAAGAGGCTGAGGGCGGGAGGGGGGACCTTTTACCTGCACACACCTCAGCAGGAGGGGGGCTGCTACGTGAGGATGCAAATCCGGCCTCCCCGAGTGGCCAATCGGGAATCAGGTGAGGGAATTTGGGTCCCCACCCCACCCCTACCGGGCGTGTGAGCACGTGTGCGGTGTTCTGGGACCTTTGTCCCGCAAAGTCATGCTTGGCGGGCACCCCTTGGTTCCTGCTTCTTGTCAGATCTGCTTGAATCTTATCTTCTCCACACCCCACCTCACGAGTCGTGTCCTCTCCTCATCCTCTTGCAAATTCCCTCCCGCGCCACTGCGGGTAGAAGCCTGCAGCACTCCGGTCCCGAGGAGGGTGCGGAGCCTGGCACGCCGGGCTACTGGGACTGTGGCACCAGCCCCTGGCAGCTCCGCGCGGGTGCCGGCGGCGA